TTAGGATTTGCAGTGCTGCTTATAAATCAGTGCAAATCACTGCACCATTGGTGTTCTGTTCAAGAAACCTTAACGCCATAACAATGGCAGTTAGATCTGCTTGCGTTGAAGAGGCATAGTTCTCAATACGCGCTTTTTCTTCATTTCTGCGTTGGAAAGCATTATCCTTAATTACCGTGTATGCTACTCCAGCCCTACCATTGACAGGATTAGATGACCCGTCAGTGTAGATTTGATCTAGTTCATCTCCGGCTTCTTTATAAATTTCCTCAAGATACTTATGCCTCATTTCTTGTTGTATCATGTTGGATTTTTTCGTTGCCATTTCATTGATGATAATCCTGGATGAATCATCCTTCCATGGAGGTAACCTCTCTACAGGCATGGGCTCATGGGCTTGCTCAAGCAGGTGAAGTTCTTCGAGGTAGCAGACTGATCTGTGATGTCATTTTTTGCTTCTCCTGTTTCCCCCTGAAAGTAGCACAGAACTCAGTTTTATCTTAGCAATATCATTGTAATGGGGATCTCTGGCTATCCTAATTGCAAGCTTAGCATTCAGCTCCTTAATTCTGCTTTTAACACTGGGGAGGGGACAACTCCTCTCGTAGATTAGACGTTTTGGCAGTTCTTGGAACTCCAAGAATGATTGTCATGGCTTCATTCTGAATGCTTTCGAGCCTTTTCATATCGCTTTGGGAGTAGGTGCACAGAACTGGTGCGGCATAGTCAATGACGGAGCGCACATAGGCTGTGTACATCATTTTAAGCACGACAATAGAGGCTCCATGTCTATTCCAGGTCATAGCTTTCCGTGCCCTGAGTCGACTTTTGCATGTTCCTATGAGTTGATTGTAGTAGAATTTCTACAATCTTTCTTCCCCTTGTTAGAGCCGACAGTGACGCCAAGGTACCTGCAGTGTTCTACCCATTCAAGTGTTACACCATTAATTTGTAGTTCTTCATTAGCTCCCCGCCTGTGATGAGAGTATGCTTTTGTCTTGTTGTGGAGAGAGTGAAACCGATCTCAATACATTTCCTTCCAAGGAGTTCAATGGACTGTTTAATTTTTCCCAAGGTTGGGGCTTGTATTAGGACATCATCTGCATATCCAACTTGTGTTCCTTCCGGAAAATCAATATTTGCAATGGCGTTCATAAGTACATTATTCCGTGTGGGGCTTAAGACTCCGCCTTGGGAGATCCCGAGTTCCATATTCATTGTTCTGGAGACTGCTCCATTGAAGCAAACCTTGGCTTTCCTCCCTGTGAGGTAGTCTTCAACCCATTTCATGAGTCTCCCCTTGACACCCATGCATGCAAGCTCGTCCAGGATCGCAATCCCCTGTGATTTGTCGAAGGTTCCTTTGATGTCAACAAATACAGAGTACTTAGCTGTGTCATTAACCAAGTAATTAACTATACAGTTTGCTGTGCTCCGCCCTTTAACAAATCCATTGACCCCCTCTCGTAACCTGCCTATTTTGTGCAGCAGTCGGTTTAGGATGATCCTTTCAAGCATCTTGCAAGTGCATGACACAAGACTGATAGGTCTGTAATTGCCAGGGTCAGGGTCACTGGGCTTCGGTATGGGAACAATTAATGTGTGTTTCTATTATGTGGGCAACACTCCACTTAGGAATGATTTGTTAAACAGGTGGAGTAGTGGATTCCCAGACACTTCACACAGTGCATTGAGTATGTCGTAGGTGACGCCATCTTCACCAGATGCAGTACTTTTACCCTTTTTCATAGCGCCCCTTACTTCCTGGGCTGTGATTGGTTTCCCTTATTCATCATCAGTAGACAGTGCTCTTGTTATCCTAATTCTTCTGTCATCATGTCGCAGGAGCTGTTCCCTGCTGATTTCTACTGGGAAGGAGGAGGAGGATGCTGCATCACTCCATTTGTGAAATAGTTCCTCAGCCTTACCCTGGGGGTCTTTGTGAGCCGCAGGCCGGGCTCTGCCTCCCTTAGCTATCTGAATTTTTGCCCACACTTGTCTTGCAGATGTTTCTCGTCCAATAGAGCTAGTTAATCCAAGCCATTGTCTTTCCCGCTCTTTAATCTTCTCTTCCCTGGCTACTTGACACACAGTTTTAAACACCTCTTGGTTGCTGTCAGTGGGATGTCTCCGGTACTCTCTACTCATGCTCCTAACATTTGCATTGAGCATCTTTATGTAATCATTCTCATACCATTTTATTTTCTTCTTCGGAGGGTTACTGCGCCCAGGCGTACGGCGCAGAACTCTGAGATAGTTGCTCAATTTGGTTATTAAGGTCATCAACAAATGTATCAATGTTTTCTGGGATTTGGTATTCCGTGAACCAGTCACTCATCCTGTTTATGAAGTAAAACCTCATATCCGGTCAGAGTGATAATCTTTTTCTTTTATTCGTCTCTTTCCTTCTCTTGCTCATGTCGACGGTGGTAATCAGTGCCCAATGGTCACTACATAAACTGTGCACAATGTGTGTACTGGCATCCGTGTCCTGTGCATTCAGCAGGAGAGCATAGTCTAATCTTCCTCCTCTGAGGTGAGTTGGCTGTTCATAACCCAAGACTCTAAGGTTTTCACTTCCCCTGACATAGAGTGACAGTTTCCGTCCATTGACATTGGGCTGATGACAGTTCGCTTCAAAGTGTGAGTGCCTGGCATTAAGGTCACCTACCAGCAGGGTAGTTTCCTCATTAACAAATTCAGGCAGTGTGTCAAGGTCAAGTTTACTCTGTGGCACATATAGGTTGATTATATGTAGAGCATTATTGTTTAAGTAGAGGGTTACCCCCAGTGATTCATACTTACTCCCCATGTGCAGGTCATCAATAATCTGTGCGGGAATGTTGTTACTTACAAAGGTAGTGAGGCCCCGTTTTCTTTCCCCAGCTGGAAGGGAGAACTTCTGATAACCGCTGAATCTTGGGTATAAGTTATCACCCACCAGGGGGCCTCGTAGCCTGGTGGATAGCGCGCAGGACTCGTAATTCTGTGGCGCGGGTTCGATTCCCGCACGAGGCAGAAACAAATGGGCAAAGTTTCTTTCACCCTGAATGCCCCTGTTACCTAGCAGTAAAATAGGTACCTGGGTGTTAGTCAGCTGTCACGGGCTGCTTCCTGGGGGTGGAGGCCTGGTCGAGGACCGGGCCGCGGGGACACTAAAGCCCCGAAATCATCTCAAGATAACCTCAAGATAACCACCAATGTTCCTTGTAGCACTATGACGTCAGTTTGGTGTTCACGAACGTACTGTATGATGTCATTAATTCTATTGTGAACTCCATTGCAATTCCATTGTAGTATAGTGAGATGTTCTTGCCTGTTAGTATCCATTTTGAAGTTGTTTGCTAACAGATGCACTTTGAACATTATTATGATGTTCACTTTCCTTATTGTATATTCTGTGGTGACCGGTGTGTACACTGGTGTTACTGTGTGCACCGGTGTTAGTGTGCTCTGGTGTTTCTGTGTGCACCGATGTTACTGAGTGCTCTGGTGTTTCTGTGTGCACCGATGTTACTGAGTGCTCTGGTGTTTCTGTGTGCACCGATGTTACTGAGTGCTCTGGTGTTTCTGTGTGCACCGATGTTACTGAGTGCTCTGGTGTTTCTGTGTGCACCGATGTTACTGGGTGCACTGGGGGGTACTGTGGGCACCGATGTTACTGAGTGCTCTGGTGTTTCTGTGTGCACCGATGTTACTGGGTGCACTGGGGGTACTGTGGGCACTGATGTTACGGGATCATTGTTGTATCAGCTGTCATATACGATGACAGCTTGTGCTGCATCACCTTGTACCAGACTCTGGCATGTTGGCCCTTCACATGATGGACTCTGCTGTTACAGGAGCTGGAGGATTTGGTCCTGTGCCATTTTAATTTGATCAAGGCGTTCCCAAGTTCTGTTTGCTTTTGCATTATTTCTTAGACGACGGGATGATTTCGTATCATATTATAAAGTATTGTTTTGATATGAGTCAGGGTGATGGCTTCTTGGGGGTCAGGAAGGGGGGGGGGGGGCCTGGTGGGTGAGGTAGGTGGTGGTTATGATAGGAGAGGGATGGGGGGGGGTATGTGGGTAGTGGGTAGGCCTCAGAGGAGCGGTGACGGGCTACACCATTTCCTCCCCAGCTATAGTTATTGGACCACCCGCTCCCTGGTCTAAATCCCCCCCCCCCCTCTCCCTGGTCACTGGTTCACCTGTGACCTGAGTCGATATTCGTTTTGGTCCCTGCCAATTAGGCCTCTTGCTGCAGTGCCGGTTCCATGCATGGTGGGGTTATTGGCAATTGACACATTTAGGTGTTACAGCGTTAATAACACTAAGTTTATCCAGACATAGTTTAGTGTCGTGAGAGCCACTACAACACCCACACCTAGCTCTCTGATCACATTGCCAGGTTCTGTGGTCCCACCATTGACAGTTGCCAAATAAGGATGGGCTGCCAATATATCGTTCCACTCTACAAGGCCTTATGCCTGGTAATGCAGTAACGGGGGGCAGCTTTCCCCCTCCACAACATAGTGATTGCTTGATTTTTGGCACTCCCCCAGGTCCCGTGTTGCGCTTGACCCAGATGATCTGGGGAAGTTCACTAATGTACTCAATAGGAGCATGGATACTGTAGTTCTTAATAATAATTTTGGTCTGTTTATTCTGCGAGTTTACTTCCAGGTAAACTGGGCCCCTCCACCTGGAGGGGCCCCTGGTGGAGGGCCCTAGGTGGAGGCCTAGGTGGAGGCCCAGGTGGGGGGCCCCAGGTGGAGGGCCCCAGGTGGAGGTCTAGGTGGAGGCCTAGGTGGGGGGCCCCAGGTGGAGGGCCCCAGATGGAGGGCCCCAGGTGGAGGCCCAGGTGGAGGCCTAGGTAGAGGGCCCCAGGTGGAGGGCCCCAGGTGGAGGCCCAGGTGGAGGGCCCCTGGTGGAGGGCCCCAGGTGGAGGCCTAGGTGGAGGCCCAGGTGGGGGGCCCCAGGTGGAGGGCCCCAGGTGGAGGTCTAGGTGGAGGCCTAGGTGGGGGGCCCAGGTGGAGGGCCCCAGATGGAGGGCCCCAGGTGGAGGCCCAGGTGGAGGCCTAGGTAGAGGGCCCCAGGTGGAGGGCCCCAGGTGGAGGCCCAGGTGGAGGGCCCCTGGTGGAGGGCCCCAGGTGGAGGCCTAGGTGGAGGCCCAGGTGGGGGGCCCCAGGTGGAGGGCCCCAGGTGGAGGTCTAGGTGGAGGCCTAGGTGGGGGGCCCCAGGTGGAGGGCCCCAGATGGAGGGCCCCAGGTGGAGGCCCAGGTGGAGGCCTAGGTACAGGGCCCCAGGTGGAGGGCCCCAGGTGGAGGCCCAGGTGGAGGACCCCAATTGGAGGGCCCCAGGTAAGGCCCTCCACTTGACCTCTCCACCTATGAAGGCACAGGTGGAGGGCCCCAGGTGGAGGCCCTGATGGAGGCTTACCTCTCCCCCACCTCTTACGGTGGGGGAGAGGTAAGGCACGGTGGGGGAGAGGTAAGGCACGGTGGGGGAGAGGTAAGGCACGGTGGGGGAGAGGTAAGGCACGGTGGGGGAGAGGTAAGGCACGGTGGGGGAGAGGTAAGGCACGGTGGGGGAGAGGTAAGGCACGGTGGGGGAGAGGTAAGGCACGGTGGGGGAGAGGTAAGGCTCGGTGGGGGAGAGGTAAGGCACGGTGGGGGAAAGGTAAGGTACGGTGGGGGAGAGGTAAGGCACGGTGGGGGAGAGGTAAGGCACGGTGGGGGAGAGGTAAGGCACGGTGGGGGAGAGGTAAGGCACGGTGGGGGAGAGGTAAGGCACGGTGGGGGAGAGGTAAGGCACGGTGGGGGAGAGGTAAGGCACGGTGGGGGAGAGGTAAGGCACGGTGGGGGAGAGGTAAGGCACGGTGGGGGAGAGGTAAGGCACGGTGGGGGAGAGGTAAGGCACGGTGGGGGAGAGGTAAGGCACGGTGGAGGAGAGGTAAGCCACGGTGGGGAAGAGGTAAGGCACGGTGGGGGAGAGGTAAGGCACGGTGGGGGAGAGGTAAGGCACGGTGGGGGAGAGGTAAGGCACGGTGGGGGAGAGGTAAGGCACGGTGGGGGAGAGGTAAGGCACGGTGGGGGAGAGGTAAGGCACGGTGGGGGAGAGGTAAGGCACGGTGGGGGAGAGGTAAGGCACGGTGGGGGAGAGGTAAGGCACGGTGGGGGAGAGTTCCAACAGTTTAAACCTCTTACCTTTATAGTCATGGTTATTGTTTGTGAAGCACTGCAAGGCTCTGGCCCCAAACACCCGCAAAACAACATTGCTACCTACAAATCTGCTCTCAATGCGGTGCTGCAGGTCGCTATGGGTGCGGGCGGCTTTAAAGATCCATCTGTACTTCTCTGCTGATCCCATAACCAATTGTAGTAGAGAAGATTAAGGTGTGCCACTCATCATCTTCGGCTGATTGTTGTTGTTGTGGTCGATGATGATGATGATGATGATGCTCTCGTTGTGTTTGTGTTTGTTCCTGTTGTCGTTGTTGTTGCTGTTGCAATCGTTTCCTGTCCCGTTTCTTACATGTTCTGTTTCTGGCTGTTTCATAACCGCCTTCATCTTCTAATGAATTGTCACTCCCGCCATCACTGTTGGTAGTCCCCGGGGGAAGAGCCTCACCCATGCCAGGTATCGTAGTTGTGTGTTGGTGGTGTTGTCGTGTTGTTCCTCCTTTACGGACAACCCAACCCACAACTTGGTAGAGTGATTATACCTCACTAGGAGATCACATTAGGCGCTTCTGGCTCTTGGAGAGGGGCTCAACGTCACACGTTTAGGGGATGCGGCTCCAACACTCAGCCTCGTTGTCACGTGCACACACCCACTCGAGCCGCTGTGACTCCCCACTCTCTCCTTATGTGATATGATCTCCTCATTCCCCTTTGACTTACTGGTTTTCCGTCCTACCCTGTCCACTGCGGTGGTTCTTGGCTCTTTTCTCTCTCTCTCTCTCTCTCTCTCTCTCTCTCTCTCTTTCCTTTACTATTTCCTGGGAAGCCTCACTAGGACAAGGGCAAACACCAGCAAATTGGAATACATTTACTGGACAAAGCACATACACAATACATATACACATATAATAATAATGATTCCTACACTCTATACTATTACAGTCAGGTTGCTCTCCAACATCATCAGAACTCTATCATCAGCTTATCAAGTGGTATCCTATCTTCTGGTTCACCACCTGATACTATCAACCTCCTCAAGTAGGTCAAGTCCTGTAATACAATGTTGCACTATCAGCAAGAGAAAATATATATATATATATATATATATATATATATATATATATATATATATATATATATATATATATATATTATATAACTTGTACAAGGAAAATCAGCATGTGAATGCAATAACATATATCAGTATAAATGTTCCTTGATACACAACAATGATCAATCGATCACCTTATCAGTCCTAGAACACATACAACTGTAGGTAATCCAGCCTACAATTGTAACTCTAAACTTCAGTATAAAACACTCCTTGACATAAGAATGCAAACAATCACTCACCTCTCACTGCGTCTTGCACGCTAATGACAACCAAACACTATCAACTCCCTACAAGTAATCCACCAGAACTTCCCTCCCACCTCTGGAAGTTCACTACCCTGATCTTCAGGTTCTTCTGGGCTACACTACCAGGATCCTCTGCAGCTCCTCCAGGCTGCTATCATGAAGTCTTCCTTGAGCAACTACGGTGCTTCACCCTTCTGCTAGGGTCCTCCACAGCTCTCCTGGCTGCTACACCATGAAGTTTCCTCGAGCAACTATGGTGCTTCACCACCTCTACAGAAGCACGTGACACTCCTCTTCACTGCTTCTCCTCACAGCTCGAGGTCCTCTGCTCCACTACCTTGGAGTCTCATCAACTACTCCCTCTGTGCTGGCTTCGAAGTTCTCAGCAACGTCTTCCCCAAAGACAAACCTGCAACCCATTGACACTCCAATAAAAATGTTTCCTTATAAACACATAGACGAAATAATCCACACAATGTGTTTGCATCCAACATCTATATGCTCTCTACATGCAGTGAGAGTGGACTCCCCCGTTGGGCTGGTCCATGCTCCACCTCGCCCGGCGGGCCTCACTCACTCTGGGGGAGGGTCCTCCGCTGCCAGGAGCTGGGCTCCGTCAGTTGGCTTCAGGCGATCGATGGGAGAGGACACACTGCTCGTCCCTCCAGCTGTCTCTCTCATCTCCGTCCTCTCATTTAGGCTACCTTCCTTACCAAAACATTTCTAACTTATAAATAAACATTGCTGCTGTCGCTGGGCACATGACCAACTACAAGCAATCACTATGAACTGGCTTAAATCGTGCTTACCACAGATTGTCTAGTCGAGGGCCTATCCCTCTGACGGCGTCTGGTCAGGGCGCTCCACACAGCCCACGAAAATGTCTCTGGGCAGCTTAATAAACTCTCCTCGCCGTCCAGGACTTGAGACCACAACGTTCTCAGCTCAATTCCACAGCTGGCACGTCTGCACACTTCTCTTCTCTTGGAGATATATCACTAAGGGTTCCTTTCTGACGGGAGCTCAAACGGAGAGCGGCTCTCCCCCTGCGATGTCTGGCCTCAAGTGAGGTCAAAGCCCTCCAGAAGCGAGCCTCACGCCTCCAGCAAATTATCCACATCTCCTAACCAGTCATCTATCTGTTTTCTTATTCACTGCCCATAATCTTAAATTGTTCATTAAATCCAACAAACTATTTTACATCTGTGTTATCGCCTCTATATTTCCTATACTTTCTAGTTAGGTCAGGCTTGTTGAATAACTCTCAAGGGGGAGACTCGTTTCTCCTGTAGGCTGAGATCATAACGGAGACCGCGACGTTAGGGAGGGAGGGAGGGCACAGGGGCTATAAGGCCCAGGTACCTGGGAGGGGACCCACAGTACTTCCCTCGTGGAACCCCTGTTACTGACACACCTTGCAATGTTTGTCTCAATTTCTGACCATTCCCACATTATTCACCACTCACTATGAACTATGGTCGATAACCACACTTTTGAACACCTAATACTGTCGCAGCTGTGCTATTAGACGCTCTAAAGGCTGGGCCATAAAGCTAGGCCTATGTCACGAGGACGAGGGCACATCTCGACCATCCTGTCCCAGGGCTCTGGGTCAACTGTGGCAGATCCTGATGTTGCAACTGCTGTGTTGTGGTCACTGTACACCTTCTGCAGTGATCTGTTTCAATTTGTTTACTTAATCTGTGATAGACTCTGTGAGACCCAGTTGGAAGCCCAGGTGGAGGTCCCAGGTGAAGGCCCAGGTGGAGGCCCCAGGTGGAGGCCCAGGTGGAGGCCCCAGGTGGAGGCCCCAGGTGGAGGCCCCAGGTGGAGGCCCCAGGTGGAGGCCCAGGTGGAGGCCCCAGGTGGAGGCCCAGGTGGTGGCCCCAGGTGGAGGCCCCAGGTGGAGGCCCAGGTGGAGGCCCCAGGTGGAGGCCCCAGGTGGAGGCCCCAGGTGGTGGCCCAGGTGGAGGCCCCAGGTGGAGGCCCCAGGTGGAGGCCCAGGTGGAGGCCCCAGGTGGAGGCCCAGGTGGAGGCCCAGGTGGAGGCCCCAGGTGGAGGCCCAGGTGGAGGCCCCAGGTGGAGGCCCCAGGTGGAGGCCCAGGTGGAGGCCCCAGGTGGAGGCCCAGGTGGAGGCCCCAGGTGGAGGCCCAGGTGGAGGCCCCAGGTGGAGGCCCCAGGTGGAGGCCCAGGTGGAGGCCTCAGGTGGAGGCCCAGGTGGAAGCCCCAGGTGGAGGCCCCAGGTGGAGGCCCCAGGTGGAGGCCCAGGTGGAGGCCACAGGTGCAGGCCCAGGTGGAGGCCCCAGGTGAAGGCCCAGGTGGAGGCCCCAGGTGGAGGCCCCAGGTGGAGGCCAAGGTGGAGGCCCCAGGTGGAGGCCCAGGTGGAGGCCCAGGTGGAGACCCCAGGTGGAGGCCCAGGTGGAGGCCCAGGTGGTGGCCCCAGGTGGAGGCCCCAGGTGGTGGCCCCAGGTGGAGGCCCCAGGTGGAGGCCCAGGTGGAGGCCCCAGGTGGAGGCCCCAGGTGGTGGCCCAGGTGGAGGCCCCAGGTGGAGGCCCCAAGTGGAGGCTCCAGGTGGAGGCCCAGGTGGAGGCCCAGGTGGAGGCCCAGGTGGTGGCCCCAGGTGGAGGCCCCAGGTGGTGGCCCCAGGTGGTGGCCCAGGTGGTGGCCCCAGGTGGAGGCCCAGGTGGTGGCCCCCAGGTGGTGGCCCAGGTGGGGGCCCCAGGTGGTGGCCCCAGGTGGTGGCCCAGGTGGTGGCCCCAGGTGGTGACCCCAGGTTGAGGCCCAGGTGGTGGCCCCAGGTGGTGGCCCAGGTGGTGGCCCCAGGTGGTGGCCCCAGGTGGTGGCCCCAGGTGGAGGCCCAGGTGGTGGCCCCAGGTGGAGGCCCCAGGTTGAGGCCCAGGTGGTGGCCCCAGGTGGTGGCCCCAGGTGGTGGCCCAGGTGGTGGCCCCAGGTGGTGGCCCCAGGTGGTGGCCCCAGGTGGAGGCCCAGGTGGTGGCCCCAGGTGGAGGCCCCAGGTTGAGGCCTAGGTGGTGGCCCCAGGTGGTGGCCCCAGGTGGTGGCCCAGGTGGTGGCCCCAGGTGGTGGCCCAGGTGGTGGCCCAAGTGGTGGCCCCAGGTGGTGGCCCCAGGTGGTGGCCCAGGTGGTGGCCCCAGGTGGTGGCCCCAGGTAGTGGCCCCAGGTGGTGGTCCAGGTGGTGGCCCCAGGTGGAGGCCCAGGTGGTGGCCCTAGGTGGTGGCCCCAGGTGGTGGCCCCAGGTGGTGGCCTAGGTCGTGGCCCAGATGGTGGCCCCAGGTGGTGGCCCCAGGTGGTGGCCCCAGGTGGTGGCCCAGGTGGTGGGCCCAGGTGGAGGCCCCAGGTGGTGACTCCAGGTGGTGGCCCAGGTGGTGGCCCCAGGTGGTGACTCCAGGTGGTGGCCCAGGTGGTGACTCCAGGTGGTGGCCCAGGTGGTGGCCCCAGGTGGAGGCCCCAGGTGGAGGCCCAGGTGGTGGCCCCAGGTGGAGGCCCCAGGTGGAGGCCCAGGTGGAGGCCCCAGGTGAAGGCCCAGGTGGAGGCCCCAGGTGGAGGCCCCAGGTGGAGGGCCAGGTGGAGGCCCCAGGTGGAGGCCCAGGTGGAAGCCCCAGGTGGAGGCCCCAGGTGGAGGCCCCAGGTGGAGGCCCCAGGTGGAGGCCCAGGTAGAGGTCCCAGGTAGAGGCCCAGGTGGAGGCCACAGGTGGTGGCCTAGGTCGTGGCCCAGGTGGTGGCCCCAGGTGGTGGCCCAGGTGGTGGCCCAGGTGGTGGCCCAGGTAGAGGTCCCAGGTAGAGGCCCAGGTGGAGGCCACATGTGGTGGCCTAGGTCGTGGCCCAGGTGGTGGCCCCAGGTGGTGGCCCCAGGTGGTGGCCCAGGTGGTGGCCCCAGGTGGTGGCCCAGGTGGTGGCCCCAGGTGGTGGCCCCAGGTGGTGGCTCCAGGTGGTGGCTCCAGGTGGTGGCTCCAGGTGGTGGCCCAGGTGGTGGCCCCAGGTGGTGGCCCCAGGTGGAGGCCCAAGGTGGTGGCCCAGGTGGTGGCCCAGGTGGTGGCCCCAGGTGGAGGCCCAGGTGGTGGCCCCAGGTGGTGGCCCAGGTGGTGGCCCAGGTGGTGGCCCCAGGTGGTGGCCCCAGGTGGTGGCCCAGGTGGTGGCCCAGGTGGAGGCCCCAGGTGGTGGCCCAGGTGGAGGCCCAGGTGGTGGCCCCAGGTGGTGGCCCCAGGTGGTGGCCCAGGTGGTGGCCCAGGTGGAGGCCCAGGTGGAGGCCCCAAGTGGAGGCCCAGGTGGTGGCCCAGGTGGTGGCCCCAGGTGGAGGCCCCAGGTGCAAGCCCAGGTGGAGGCCCCAGGTGGTGGCCCAGGTGGTGGCCCAGGTGGTGGGCCCAGGTGGTGGCCCCCGGTGGAGGCCCCAGGTGGTGGCCCAGGTGGAGGCCCAGGTGGAGGGCCCAGGTGGAAGCCCAGGTGGTGGCCCAGGTGGTGGCCCCAGGTGGAGGCCCAGGTGGTGGCCCAGGTGGTGGCCCCAGGTGGAGGCGCAGGTGGTGGCCCCAGGTGGTGGCCCCAGGTGGTGGCCCAGGTGGAGGCCCAGGTGGAGGCTCCAGGTGGAGGCCCAGGTGGTGGCCCCAGGTGGTGGCCCCAGGTGGTGGCCCAGGTGGACGCCCCAGGTGGAGGCCCAGGTGGTGGCCCCAGGTGCAGGCCCCAGGTGGTGGCCCAGGTGGAGGCCCAGGTGGTGGCCCAGGTGCAGGCCCAGGTGGTGGCCCAGGTGCAGGCCCAGGTGGTGGCCCAGGTGGTGGCCCAGGTGCAGGCCCAGGTGGAGGCCCCAGGTGGTGGCCCAGGTGGTGGCCCAGGTGGAGGCCCAGGTGGAGGCCCCAGGTGGTGGCCCAGGTGCAGGCCCAGGTGGAGGCCCCAGGTGGAGGCCCAGGTGGAGGCCCCAGGTGCAGGCCCAGGTGGAGGCCCAGGTGGAGGCCCCAGGTGGTGGCCCAGGTGGTGGCCCAGGTGGTGGCCCCAGGTGGAGGCCCCAGGTGGTGGCCCAGGTGGAGGCCCAGGTGGAGGCCCCAGGTGGTGGCACCAGGTGGTGGCACCAGGTGGTGGCACCAGGTGGTGGCACCAGGTGGTGCCCCAGGTGGTGGCACCAGGTGGTGGCCCCAGGTGGTGGCCCAGGTGGAGGCCCCAGGTGGAGGCCCCAGGTGGAAGCCCCAGGTGGAGGCCCCAGGTGGAGGCCCAGGTGGAGGCCCCAGGTGGTGGCACCAGGTGGTGGCCCCAGGTGGAGGCCCAGGTGGTGGCCCCAGGTGGTGGCCCCAGGTGGTGGCCCAGGTGGTGGCCCAGGTGGTGGCCCCAGGTGGTGGCCCAGGTGGTGACCCCAGGTGGTGGCCCCAGGTGGTGGCCCCAGGTGGTGGCCCAGGTGGTGGCCCAGGTGGTGGCCTAGGTGGAGGCCCAGGTGGTGGCCCCAGGTGGTGACCCCAGGTGGAGGCCCAGGTGGTGGCCCCAGGTGGTGGCCCCAGGTGGAGGCCCCAGGTGGTGGCCCCAGGTGGAGGCCCCAGGTGGTGGCCCCATTATTAACATATTATTTCATTAACCACCCAGGTAATAGAGGTTAGGTTGAGGATGGTTATATTGATGTGAAAAAATGCTACGAATATGATGCAATATTGAACCAAGATCCGTGTATCAGAGGTTAGGTCCATTATGGTGGGGTTGATGCATTAACAACATTTCCCTCCCATAAATACAATAAATTTGAAGTTAGATAAAGGGAGGTTAGGTCCAGGACGGTTGGGTTGATGTGTAAAAACAAAACACTTACCCAACAATATAGCTACAATATTGAACATTATTCCAAGTTTAAAAGGCGAGGGGCAGTTAGGTCCATATCCAAAACATCACTTTTCTATGAATATAGTTACAATGTTCAACAAAGAACCTAGTAGGTTAGGCACAGTGCAGTTAGGTTAGGTTAGGTCAGGTGTGGAGGGGAAGAAGAGATGCCAGGTGTGGAGGGGAAGAAGAGATGCCAGGTGTGGAGGGGAAGAAGAGATGCCAGGTGTGGAGGGGAAGAAGAGATGCCAGGTGTGGAGGGGAAAAAGAGACGCCAGGTGTGGAGGGGAAGAAGAGATGCCAGGTGTAGATGGTAAGGGAAACAGGTCAGGGGTAGCAGGGTAAGGGACCTAGCACAGGTGTGCATTGGCGGACGGGAGACCAGGTGGGAAAGCAAGGGAGAGAGACGGGGGAGAAAGACGGAGAGGGAGGGAGGGAGCGAGGCCAGATATGGACGGGGTGGGAGGGAGGGAGGCCAGGTATGGACGGGGTGGGAGGGAGGGAGGCCAGGTATGGACGGGGTGGGAGGGAGGGAGGCCAGGTATGGACGGGGTGGGAGGGAGGGAGGCCAGGTATGGACGGGGTGGGAGGGAGGGAGGCCAGGTATGGATGGGGTGGGAGGGAGGGAGGCCAGGGATGGACGGGGTGGGAGGGAGGGAGGCCAGTGAGAGCGTCAGTAACATCAGTTAAGCTGTGGTGTGTGGAATGTCGCCCGGTCTTTCCTCAGAAGCCAGGTGGAGGAAGCAAGGTGGAGGTCTCCAGACACCGCCGCCCTCGGCAGCCCCCGTCCTCCAGAACCTGTAGCCGCACCGCGCCCTTGTTTACACCAGCCTCAAGTTGTAACTGATCTATTGAGAAGTATAAATCCAGTGTCTCCTGGCTGGTAGGAGACAAGTATAGACCCAGTGTCTCCTGGCTGGTAGGAGACAAGTATAGACCCCGTGTCTCCTGGCTGGTAGGAGACAAGTATAGACCCAGTGTCTCCTGGCTGGTAAGAGACAACTATAAATCCAGAGTCTCCTGGCTGGTAAGAGACAAGTATAGACCCAGTGTCTCCTGGCTGGTAGGAGACAAGTATAGACCCAGTGTCTCCTGGCTGGTAGGAGACAAGTATAGACCCCGTGTCTTCTGGCTGGTAGGAGACAAGTATAGACCCCGTGCCTCCTGGCTGGTAGGAGACAAGTATAGACCCAGTGTCTCCTGGCTGGTAAGAGACAACTATAAATCCAGTGTCTCCTGGCTGGTAGGAGACTAGTATAGACCACGTGTCTCCTGGCTGGTAGGAGACTAGTATAGACTCCGTGTCTCCTGGCTGGTAGGAGACAAGTATAGACCCAGTGTCTCCTAGCTGGTAGGAGACAACTATAAATCCAGTGTCTCCTGGCTGGTAGGAGACTAGTATAGACCCCGTGTCTCCTGGCTGGTAGGAGACAAGTATAAACCCCGTGTCTCCTGGCTGGTAGGAGACTAGTATAGACCCCGTGCCTCCTGGCTGGTAGGAGACAAGTATAGACCCCAGTGTCTCCTGGCTGGTAGGAGACAAGTATAGACCCCGTGTCTTCTGGCTGGTAGGAGACAAGTATAGACCCCGTGCCTCCTGGCTGGTAGGAGACAAGTATAGACCCAGTGTCTCCTGGCTGGTAAGAGACAACTATAAATCCAGTGTCTCCTGGCTGGTAGGAGACTAGTATAGACCCCGTGCCTCCTGGCTGGTAGGAGACAAGTATAGACCCAGTGTCTCCTGGCTGGTAGGAGACTAGTATAGACCCCGTGCCTCCTGGCTGGTAGGAGACAAGTATAGACCCAGTGTCTCCTGGCTGGTAGGAGACAAGTATAGACCCCGTGTCTCCTGGCTGGTAGGAGACAAGTATAGACCCAGTGTCTCCTGGCTGGTAGGAGACAACTATAAATTCAGTGTCTCCTGGCTGGTAGGAGACTAGTATAGACCCCTTGTCTCCTGGCTGGTAGGAGACAAGTATAGACCCAGTGTCTCCTGGCTGGAAGGAGACAACTATAAATCCAGTGTCTCCTGGCTGGTAGGAGACAACTATAAACTATAGGAGACAACTATAAATCCAGTGTCTCCTGGCTGGTAGGAGACTAGTATAGACCCCGTGTCTCCTGGCTGGTAGGAGACAAGTATAAACCCCGTGTCTCCTGGCTGGTAGGAGACTAGTATAGACCCCGTGCCTCGTGGCTGGTAGGAGACAAGTATAGACCCCGTGCCTCCTGGCTGGTAAGAGACAAGTATAGACCCAGTGTCTCCTGGCTGGTAGGAGACAACTATAGACCCCGTGTCTCCTGGCTGGTAGGAGACAACTATAGACCCAGTGTCTCCTGGCTGGTAGGAGACAAGTATAGACCCCGTGTCTCCTGGCTGGTAGGAGACAACTATAGACCCCGTGTCTCCTGGCTGGTAGGAGACAACTATAGACCCGGTGTCTCCTGGCTGGTAGGAGACAACTATAGACCCCGTGTCTCCTGGTTGGTAGGAGACAACTATAGACCCCGTGTCTCCTGGCTGGTAGGAGACAACTATAGACCCAGTGTCTCCTGGCTGGTAGGAGACAACTATAGACCCCGTGTCTCCTGGCTGGTAGGAGACAAGTATAGACCCCGTGTCTCCTGGCTGGTAGGAGACAACTATAGACCCCGTGTCTCCTGGCTGGTAGGAGACAACTATAGACCCCGTGTCTCCTGGCTGGTAGGAGACAACTATAGACCCCGTGTCTCCTGGCTGGTAGGAGACAACTATAGACCCCGTGTCTCCTGGCTGGTAGGAGACAACTATAGACCCCGTGTCTCCTGGCTGGTAGGAGACAAGTATAGACCCCGTGTCTCCGGGCTGGTAGGAGACAACTATAGACCCCGTGTCTCCTGGCTGGTAGGAGACAACTATAGACCCCGTGTCTCCTGGCTGGTAGGAGACAACTATAGACCCCGTGTCTCCTGGCTGGTAGGAGACAAGTATAGACCCCGTGTCTCCGGGCTGGTAGGAGACAACTATAGACCCCGTGTCTCCTGACTGGTAGGAGACAACTATAGACCCCGTGTCTCCTGGCTGGTAGGAGACAACTATAGACCCCGTGTCTCCTGGCTGGTAGGAGACAAGTATAGACCCCGTGTCTCCTGGCTGGTAGGAGACAACTATAGACCCCGTGTCTCCTGGCTGGTAGGAGACAAGTATAGACCCCGTGTCTCCTGGCTGGTAGGAGGCAAGTATAGACCCCGTGTCTCCTGGCTGGTAGGAGACAAGTATAGACCCCGTGTCTCCTGGCTGGTAGGAGACAAGTATAGACCCCGTGTCTCCTGGCTGGTAGGAGACAAGTATAGACCCCGTGTCTCCTGGCTGGTAGGAGACAAGTATAGACCCCGTGTCTCCTGGCTGGTAGGAGACAAGTATAGACCCCGTGTCTCCTGGCTGGTAGGAGACAAGTATAGACCCCGTGTCTCCTGGCTGGTAGGAGACAAGTATAGACCCCGTGTCTCCTGGCTGGTAGGAGACAAGTATAGACCCCGTGTCTCCTGGCTGGTAGGAGACAAGTATAGACCCCGTGTCTCCTGGCTGGTAGGAGACAAGTATAGACCCCGTGTCTCCTGGGTGGTAGGAGACAAGTATAGACCCCGTGTCTCCTGGCTGGTAGGAGACAAGTATAGACCCCGTGTCTCCTGGGTGGTAGGAGACAAGTATAGACCCAGTGTCTCCTGGCTGGTAGGAGACAAGTATAGACCCAGTGTCTCCTGGCTCCAGCAGGTGAACAACATCAAGAGAAACTACGAAGAAAGTTGTGGACAGAATGATGCTCAAAGGTAACTATCGAATTTTGGAGGAATAGATAGATGGATGGGTTGATAGACGAGTTGATGGATGGGTTGATAGACGAGTTGATGGATGGACGGGTTAATAGATAGAGGATTTGATGGATGGATGAGTTAATGAATGCATATGGTGGTAGAAGGATGAATTGATGAGTTGGTGGTTTGTTGAGCTGATGGATTGATTAGATGATGGATTGATGAGTTGGTGGATTCATGTGTTGATGGATTGATTATGTGATGGATAAATGTTTTCACGGATGACTGCGTAGACTGGGAAATGAATGAGTTAATAGGTAGGTGGATTCGTGCCAGGATTGATGAAAGGTTCACACTCAGGCATTACAATTTTTCAACATATATATTACTGAACTGTTTTGTTAAAAAATATGTTTACTTAATAAAAGTGATAAGAGTTAGTGTAAGCGAAGAGTGATGAAGGGAGAGAGCTTGTGCTGCCTCAGCCAGGGATACAACCTCGTACACATGGTTCTTTACCTGCTGGAACTTACTCCAGTCGAGTGAATAGTGGTCACGGGGACGAATATTTGGGTGACCGAAATATTGACACTGTTCCTTCTGTCATTGTGACACCAGTGTCCAGGGACAGTGTGTGTACTCACCTAGTTGTGCTTGCGAAGGTTGACCTTTGGCTCTTTGGTCCCGCCTCTCAACTGTCAATCAACTGGTGTACAGATTCCTGAGCCTACTGGGCTCTATCATATCTACACTTGAAACTGTGTATGGAGTCAACCTCCACCACATCACTTCCTAGTCCATACCATTTGTTAATTACTCTGATACTGACAATAGTCTTTCTAACGTCTCTGTGGCTCATCTGGGTACTAAGTTTCCACCTGTGTCCCCTTGTTCGTGTTCCTCCCGTACTGAAGAGTTTGTCTTTGTCCACTCTGTCAATTCCTGAGAATTTTGTAGGTGGTTATCATGTCTCCCCTTACTCTTCTGTTTTCCAGGGACGTGAGGTTCCCTAGAAAAGCTGTTATATCTGCAGCTTACTAATAGTTTCCCTCAAGTCCTTCAATTCCCTCCTAATTTCCTTCCATGCATGAACAATCATCTCCATGTATGGCTCGTCTTGTTCCTCTCCTACAACTTTGTTCTGTTGTCTTACCATCCTGCTTGACCTCTGTGTGTGTGTGTGTACTCACCTAATTGTACTCACCTAATTGTGCTTGCGGGGGTTGAGCTCTGGCTCTTTGGTCCCGCCTCTCAACCGTCAATCAACTGGTGTACAGATTCCTGAGCCTATTGGGCTCTATCATATCTACATTTGAAACTGTGTATGGAGTCAGCCTCCACCACATCACTTCCTAATGCATTCCATTTACTAACTACTCTGACACTGAAAAAGTTCTTTCTAACGTCTCTGTGGCTCATTTGGGTACTCAGCTTCCACCTGTGTCCCCTTGTTCGCGTCCCACCAGTGTTGAATAGTTCATCCTTGTTTACCCGGTCGATTCCCCTGAGGATTTTGTAGGTTGTGATCATGTCCCCCCTTACTCTTCTGTCTTCCAGTGTCGTAAGGTGCATTTCCCGCAGCCTTTCCTCATAACTCATGCCTCTTAGTTCTGGGACTAGTCTAGTAGCATACCTTTGGACTTTTTCCAGCTTCGTCTTGTGCTTGACAAGGTACGGGCTCCATGCTGGGGCCGCATATTCCAGGATTGGTCTTACATACAAACTACAAACTTACAAACAAACTGGAGGTCACAGGTTCGAGTCCTGTACGGACTGGCAGTATTAGGGAGCCGGTCGGCCGAGCGGACAGCACGCGGGACTTGTGATCCTGTGGTCCTGGGTTCGATCCCAGGCGCCGGCGAGAAACAATGGGCAGAGTTTCTTTCATCCCATGCCCCTGTTACCTAGCAGTAAAATAGGTACTTGGGTGTTAGTCAGCTGTCACGGGCTGCTTCCTGGGGGTGGAGGCCTGGTCGAGGACCGGGCCGCGGGGACACTAAAAAGCCCCGAAATCATCTCAAGATAACCTCAAGAAGATACATATGTGGTGTACAAGATTCTGAATGATTCCTTACACAGGTTCCTGAATGCCGTTCTGATGTTAGCCAGCCTCGCATATGCCGCAGACGTTATTCTCTTTATGTGGGCTTCAGGAGACAGGTTTGGTGTGATATCAACTCCTAGATCTTTCTCTCTGTCTGTTTCATTAAGTACTTCATCTCCTATTCTGTATCCTGTGCCTGGCCTCCTGTTTCCACTGCCTAGTTTCATTAGTGTGTGTGTGTGTGTGTGTGTGTGTGTGTGTGTGTGTGTGTGTGTGTGTGTGTGTGTGTGTGTGTGTGTGTGTGTGTGTGTGTGTGTGTGTGTGTGTGTGTGTGTGTGTGTGTGTGTGTGTGTGTGTGTGTGTGTGTGTGTGTGTGTGTGTGTGTGCGCGCGCGCACACACACACCGTATCACCATATCACGTTGGCGTGATATGGTGATACGGATATCCGTATTTTTAACTTAAGTCCAAAGCTAAATATTATATCATGACACCGAACACCGTGTATGACTGGCTTTGAGAGGCACTTACCTGCAAGTCAGCATCCCAAAGCACAGCCAGGTGACTTATGCATGTGTGTGATACACTGAGGTGTCCAGGAATAGTATGTGGTACACTGCAGTGTCCAGGATGAAGAAGAAGGATGATGAAGCAGATGAATGCCTCTCCCCATCTGTCTACTAGCTAAGCTATCAAAGAAGTAGTCATATTGTTAGTTAGTAGTTACCAGTCTCCGTGGTGTAGTGGCAAGACACTCGCCTGGCGTTCCGCGAGCGCTTTGTCATGGGTTCGTATCCTGGCCGGGGAGGATTTACTGGGCGCAAATTCTTAACTGTAGCCTCTGTTTAACTCAACAGTAAAATGTGTACTTGGATGTAACAACGATTCTTCGCGGCGGGGATCGTATTCCAGGGACCTGCCCGAAATGCTACGCGTACTAGTGGCTGTACAAGAATGTATATTATTATTATTATTATCATTGTAAATCGCTTAAGTGTTTAATAAAAGAATAAAATTCTATAATGTGTTTTACTTTTACCTCATTTATGATGGACTGAGGAAATGAGAAATGGAAATTGTCAAGTGATTGATGATGACTGTCACCTGCCTGGGAGGGGAGTGAGGGGGAAGGTGCGACACACTCCTGGTAGTAACACAACACCTCCTCCTTAACGCGAACACAGTCCACTCGTGCAAGGGTGTCAAAGACCACACACCGGTCCTGAGTGCTCTGCTAGCATGTGGTGGTGGAAACCACATGACTATGTGCTGCTGCTGCTGCTATGTGGCGATGTGAGCTATGCTATAGTGTATTGCTGTCATTCAATGCACTAACGTCTCGGCCTTCAAAGAGGCGAGCCGCACAAATGCTCGCTCCAACACACATCCATATGGACATGTGGGCATGTGGCTATGTGGTAACGCCCCTCAGACCTATGAGGCAGCTCCTTACCCCTCTGGAAGCAAGCTAGGGAAGGGGAGTAAGAGGGAGAGGCCCACCCACCCTATTTACAAAACCAATACGGGGTCATTCCTACCTACCCTCTATTCCTACCCTCTATTCCCACCCCCTCATTTGTTGCTTTGGCCTCCTACCGTGTACACCCCTTGACACCGACATGAAAACTAATCACCTGCGGATAAAGATATTGGAGACCCACTCCACATGCAGAGAATTGGTAAAATATATATACACTTCACTACATAAAACAGATACAAGAATGAGAGACCAGCGCTATCAGTCAGAGCTTCCGCCTGCTCCGCTCCCTTCCCCTCTCCCCCTATCCTTCTTCACGTGCCCTAGCCCTAACCACCATCTTAAAAGCTCGGTCTCCTACCCAGTCAGGGGTAGGGGGCCCCCCTCTCTAGACATCCTCAACATATCCTACATACTGTTATGTAATTATATATCTACACACGATTAACTCTACGGCACATATACATATCCATCTACTACTATTACTATTGCTCATCTGTTCACCTATTCCTATACTTACACTTTGAACCCCCCACACTAACCCCCACGAGACAATGACCCCGCACCTTCAGACACCCGACACCTCCCACAGTCGCACCACGCGACAACGCACACGCCCCACGGGGTCCCCCGGGGACCTCATACCCTTTGAGACTACGGATGTGTACAACACCTGAGAAGGGGCCTAATTGGCTCACCTGCTCAGGTGTTGCACACGGTCGTAGTTTCAATTTACGCTACTCACTCCAGTGTCCAGGGACAGTGTGTGGGGTACACTCCAGTGTCCAGGGACAGTGTGTGGGGTACACTCCAGTGTCCAGGGACAGTGTGTGGGGTACACTCCAGTGTCCAGGGACAGTGTGTGGGGTACACTCCAGTGTCCAGGGACAGTGTGTGGGGTACACTCCAGTGTCCAGGGACAGTG